GCTCGGCAAGCCCCCCAATTAAAGTTCATTTTTCTGAAGAACACACTTCGAGGAACCTATATGCAAAAAACGAAGAAAACTGTTTGTCTCAAAAGTCCTCAATTTTCAATACAAAATCAGATTAGCATGAGATAGCAATAGTTCCATAGCTACTACAAATTTAAGGAATCGAATGGTGCCAAAAAACCTGCAGGTTTCTAATAATAAACCAGCTAAACAATGCCTATTGTGAACGTGGGCCACAACTTTTAATGAGTTGCCAGCCGACCTGAGTAGTGAACCTCTCTTCCTGCCACGAAAAAATTCTCGCAAGAAATTGGAAATGAAACGGACTATATATATATATGGGATTCCAAAAAAAACTTGACTTTCCTTACATGCCTAGACAGTTCGTGACTATTTCCAGTTTTCTAACGGTGAACTGACTGCCCATCCAAAACGACAATTGCTTCAGGCCTCCACGAAAAAGAACCATCCATCAATGAATTACTCTTATGGAACCTTAAATCTTCTAGGCTGTCACAACCTTCACAGCTAAAACTTAATTGTTCTCCTTTAAGCCAATATTTAGCCAACGCCACCTTACACGGCAAAAATTATTTCCCGTCATTCTCGTTTTCTTGATTATATACTATAAGCCAAATTTTGCTAAAAAGTACTTTTCCTTCAAAAAACTATGAAAGACTCAAAAGTTCCATCAAACTGCACTTTCTGGCTCTGAGAATCTCGACTACTTATGTAAAAAAGCCCTAAATACTTTTCGGACTTCATTTCAGTTGACTTTTTCCACTTTGAAAACGCTCCCCCTTCTACAATTTACTTGCGGCTAGAAAACGTCATTTGGCAATTGTTGGTGCCTCCTGATGGAGCAATCCCTTCAATTGATGAAGAGTATAAAACTTGCAGACAACTGAGCGGCTAACAAGATTCATAATACCTGTGTGCAGCATACGAAATTCGGAAACCAAATTAGGAAATTAGTCAGAGAGGCGAATAACGAGATCTAATACAAAGAAAAACCAGTTAAACAAGTCTGTAGCATGGACGAAAAAAGCAGTCACAAAATTGAAAAAAAAAAAGACGAAAACAGTCTTTCGAAGGTCGGAAATCAAGTAAAGATAAAGCGAACAAAATTCATTTAAAACAAGGGGGACACTTAAACGAGAGGATGGTAATAATTGTGTCAAACCTATGCCTTAAGGTTTTAAAGCAGTGCAAGCAGATTATGCTTCATGATCAAGAAAAACCACATTAAAAAAACAGTTCAAGTAACAAAAGAAATATATTTATGGCAAAAAGTCCTTAACATTATAATCGAAATTATTACTAACTAATGAAGCTGTCGCCACAGGGACAAGGCATAATCAAATAAAAAATTCCAATCCTTTTCCAAGAAATGACCAATTCCTGATTCATGGAATTTGTTTCACAAATAAGTTTTGTAAACTACAAACAAAGAAAATTGCAGAAACTAAAAAAAAGTGGAATCATAAATCACATATACTCCTTAAAATTTTTGGTGGGTATCACCATGAAGTAATTTATTCAAAAAGCAGAAACAGCTCCCGATCCCCACGAAGCAGTAAGTGATACCAAGAGATAATCAGATTTCTGGAAGTGATGATCATGACTGAGACAGGTGAGCAGACACTCAAGCAAGAAGACAACAAAAACTAAAGTATCCGTCAACATAAAATCATAAAGTATTCATATTATCATCAGATATGCAAAAAAACTGTGCATAACCTAGGCTGCAGAAAAATTATAACTCACATTAAAAAAATTACGCATAATCTCACTTTTTATTGACAGCCACAAAAAGGTTCTGAAGTTATATCTTTTCACTCTTTCACTGAAGAAAAAGAACCACAAAAATTATTTAGCAAAGAACAGAAAAGCGCTGAGAAGCGACAATTAACAGTTCTCAACCCCATTCACTCTGCCTTAAACAATAACCATAAGTTTTCTTCAGATAATTGTCCAACCATTCGCAAAAAAAGTCAACGAAAGCTTCCTTTTATAAGAGCGACTTAATTGCTAGCCGCTTCTTAATACACAGTAAGCCTAAGAAGCCCTATGCCATAATTTAGAGATTAAAAAAGGCAGCTCTATTTCATAAGACTTTCATTTCCTCTCAAACGCTCCGTTGGGGAAAATGTCAACCTCAGCCTTACCTCTTCTTCATGAAAATGGAAAGCAAAATATATGCATTCAGAATCTAAATTGTGCAGAACTGCAGCTTAAGCGCTAAAGTTATATGACTACGAACACGTTTCATAAAGTGAAACTATTGATGAGTAAACCGAAACCTTTAAGTTTGAACGAGACTAAAGGAAAAAGAACTAAAAAACATTTGATTAACAAAAAGCAATCACGATCCGGAAGATCAAATATTCTCTAGTCGTTCTAAACAACTTAAGCAATTGTTTAAAACTCGAAAAATAAAAAAATTTGAAAAACACGACCAAAATTCAAGAAGAAAATCCGCTAAAAAAAAAAGTTTTTCAAAAGATAGTTCATTCAAAGAAACAAAAGCACGAATTTACGGCCGTTTAGCCGACGCTAAAATCCCAAAGTTTTACTGTGCGGTCATAAGAACCTGATACTATTTGTTGGTCATTAAACTGTAAGCATGTGACACCATCAGTATGGCTACGCAGTGTGCATAATCTTTTTGCCGTATTCAAATTCCACACCTAAACAGCGAAAAATATTATAATTTAAAATGCAGGTAAAGAGAAGTTAAGAAAAAAATCTTTAAAAAAAACCAGTTACCGTCACAAAAAAGCGCTGTATCAATTTAACCAACCTTTATTGTTCTGTCGTCAGCCGCAGAAACAAGTCGCCACACGTCAACTTGCAAACACCTGACAACACCGGTGTGCCCTTCGCTTAATTTCCAACCTAGAGTGCTTATACATCTCCCAGTGCGGACATCCCACATCTAAGATATTGTCTAATCATTAAGGCTTTTGGAAAAAAGTGTGTCCAATAAAATATGAAACCTTGATAGTTCTGTCCACAGAACCAGACACAATTCGCTGGTTATCAAATCTCAAGCAAGTAACTGCATCTTCGTGTGCATTATGTAATGTCATGACACACGTACTTGAGCGCTCATCCCAACACTAAAATTAGAAAGGCTTTTAAGCTGCACCAAATGAATTTCAACATACAGTAAAATGGAATATGCCCTTGCTCCTTAACACAATAAATACAAGAAAAAAAACTATAAAATTAAGAAAAAGCAATAACGGAAAATGGCAAAAACTGCAAGATTCTAACATCACGAGTAGAAGAATGGCATAGTTTTTCTAAGTCTTACCTTAATAGAAAGATCGGCAGAGCCGGAAACCAATTTTGACCCGTCTGACTGTAGGCAAAGAACACCACCAGTATGGCCCCTGAACAGCTCAATCAATTATTGGTATTGTTTAGGAGTATAAGCTTTAGAGAGTCTATAAAAAATGAATAAACTTTTGAAACCCTCATTGTAATCGAAGGTATTGAAAAAATGACTAAAATTTACCCATTACGAAACATAAAACACTTCAAATCCTATTTATTTTTGGCAGACCGCTATACTTACGATAAAGTTTCCTTGCATTGGCCTGTCGTTACAGACCAGACTTTTAACAAATGGTCATATGAGCCGCTCGTTAATCGGTCGTCCTCCATCTGAAATGCTAAGATATATCCATAAAGATTTTAGCTGTCTGAGACTAAAAAAAAAATTGTAGAGCAAATTAAACTCCACTAATTTTAATAAATCTTGGCTGAAACCATAAAGCAAGTGCTTTCAAAGTCTCGTACGTAATTTTAAATAGAAGCCCCTTATTTTGTTTTCAAAATTTAAGCATTAACACTAAACGAGCATTAAATTTAAATCTTAAACAATGTTCACGGCCATGTGAAAAAGATATGTGCAACATCCTCTAAAGTCGTCAGATTAAACGGATAAAAATAATGACATATTCTAATGTCCAGTATGCTTAAAAAATGTAATTAGTGTTTGGAAATTGGCTTAGAATTTGCAGAATGAAAAAGAAAATCCTAAACAAAAACTCATAGCAAAGCTCTTTTCCGTCAAACTACGTAAAACTCTATTTAAATGCAGAATACAGTAATGTGTGGAAATCTGCGACGCTGATCAACCAGTAAAAATACGAGAAATAGAAATTTGAACCACAGGGAGCGGAATGAGGCTAACTATTTTTCTACAGAGTGGCCCATTTTTGAAGCGGCTGTACAACAAAAAGCATTTTTCTACTTAAACTGCCACATTTCCCAAACAGTTTTATGATCATAAAGTATGAGTATGAAAAAGTATCCAAGTAGAAAAAAGGATAAAAATTAATTGCAGTTTCAAAGTAAAAGTTAACTGAAAATTTGTGGCATTCCGATCTTGTGATACATTACAACTAATGATTCCTGATTTATCGCAAAAAGCAGTCTAAAATGTGAAATTTTTTACCGCACAAACTTAAAAGTACTTCTTACTTATTAGTTAAACAACCTAAATCTTTTGCAGTCTTCATTTGAACTTCTACTTTTAAGTTTCTTCGGGAAGTTTTCATACATATCTAATTATAATAGAATAGCTAGTAAACGTTCTCATATATTCGGGAGCATAAGACATTAAGCAAACTGGGTTTCACTAAAATTTATTTAAGCTATAAAAAGTGAGAAATTCTAATAAGTTTTTCTGAAAACCAGAATTGTGACTTCTCCGCAATCGGTAAAATGAAAGTTTTCACAAAATTCAGTACCCAGGACAATGTTTCATCATAAACCCAAATCCAACTGTTACTAAATTCTAGAGGTCTCAGAAGCGTGAAATATGACATCTTACAATTAACCACAGGGAACTGTAAGCTAAAGCTGCTCACAAAATTCATTTTATCACTTCCCCACTACTGGAGCTAAAAATAAAAGCAAAATGCATATGCATTACATTTCAGTTTCTTCAATGAAAACTAATACCTGTAAACAACGAACAAAATTTGTGTGTCCAACCATTGTCTGTCGGCAAGCAATAGACGACCAAGTAGTGTTTACAGCAAGATTCCATATCTAGTAAAAGAAAACTACACTAAACTTTTACCATAATAAGAGTGAAAATAAGTCTCAATTAAAGCACAAAAACATTGAAATGTAAATAAAAAAAACAAAAAGTGAAGAAATAAGTTCGGTTGGAAACTAAAAAAGATAATTGAACTACAGCACAATCACACCACATCTTCAATCCCTTCAATACTAGAATAAAGTTGAAACTTCACTCACTTTTACAAATCAGTTACTTTTCAAAGCACCAAAATGTCTTTTTAAATTAAAACTAAGTCAAAACAAGTCGGTAACTAAACGGTTCTATATAACTTCAAAACAACAAAGGAAAATAATTTTTAATCAGCAAAAAGTTAGTTTCTTCTATAAAGAAAGTGAGTTCTTAAAGTAAAGTTTTGAGGTAAAGAAACAGTAATCCATCAACCAAGCGTAAACAGCTACTTTAATCGTACAGTCGTTTGAACCAGACGCGAGACGGCTCCCATTCAAATGCAAGCAGCGAACAATATCCGAATGTCCAGTTAAAGTCATCGTCCCTAAGCGTCCATGGATGGTAGCTGTTCTACGATCACGTATATCCCATAACCTTATAGTTCCATCACTACTACCTGAGACTATCCTCTCGTTGTCAAACTGAACACAGGATATACCTAAATATCGCTTTAATAATGAAAGTGATCTCTTCGACAAAAATGAGTCTAGCCTTAAAAAATAATTTATTTAACAAGTCACCCTGGCTATGGCCTTGAAATGTCCGTACTACGCATCGACCAGCATGCCAATTACTATACAAACGGTACCGCTCACTGAAAGCTTCCTTCCAATGAACGGTACCATCTGATGAGGTATGCCTCTGCAGTTGTCGTTGTTCTGCTTCTTCAGAGCACATCCGAAACGTAGGACGCTGAAGACAAAGTTCCTTCCAAACATAAGGTATGCTACATAGTTCCTTCCATGTACGGCACACCCTCAGACAGTTGCACAAAGTTCCTGAATTCCCAACTTTTATCCATCCCGAAAAACAACTTTTTCACTTCTCCCGAAATCCTATTTTTGGTTGTTACGCTATTATGACACGAAATTTTAAGATCAATTAATAAGTAAACCAGACAGTTAAAAACATACTAGGATCGACAAAATGAAGAATTCGTAATACAACCAAAGGAGGAAGTCTAGCGAAAGGATCCGTGTTCGAAATTTCAGCCCGACGTCTACGCATTTCTTCTACCAGTGAGGAGGCGTAATCCAAATTACTAGTGTCGCATAAACACTAAATAATTTCTGAGAGAAAGTAAAATTAATAATAAAATTAATAAATAAAATTAATAAAAATCCTGACAATCAGAGTATTTAAAAACAGTTAAATATAAAACAAAAACAAAAACAAAAACAGAATTACTAACTTTTTCTAAACAGAAAAATATGCCCAAAATATTTATTTACCAAAAGTTCCCAGAGAAGAATATTTTTCTGTTCAGTAGTAGACTTCCGCAAAAGACTTCGAAAAGCCTAAATTCAATTCTAGTTTTAGCCAAAATTCTGAAAAAAAGGTACCACATTGAAAAAGCGTAAGAGGCGTACAAATTCGGAAAGCAGAGTAAAGCGTTTAAAGAACGATAGCATGAGCCTTACGCGATAAAAAAAAATTCATTAGTGAAGAACTGTAACCAACTAAAAAAAAGCTGCAAACTGTCTCGTTTCTTTTCTGCGAAAAAATTTTCAAAAGTAAAAGTAGGAAACATCCTGCAATAACCAATTTTCTAAAAAAAGTGTCATAGGCTAACTTGCACAATTTCGTCATCAGACTGGGCCGACTTATTGTATAAAGGAATTGAACTGGTGACTCTTTGCTTCTTTGCACTTGAGACCAAAGTTTCGTGACATGGATCATTTGATGACTTTGACACTGCTGACAATCCTTCTTGATTAAGATCGCTTGCTTCCATAAGAGGTTGAGGCCTGTTAAACGAAATTTACCTCATCGAGAGCCGTCCAAACATTACGGATTCCTAAAGAAGATAAAAACCACCAACGTAATGCAATAAATTAAAAAAAATTAACTGTGCTCCTGGTAACGACACACCGCAAATGCAGGAATACAAAAGAAAATCGCGATTCTCCCAATAAAAATCCCGATATCAGAAAAATGAGTGTAGCTTTGGGATGACGAAGTTGCTTGTTAATTCAATTTTATAACATTGAAAATAATTTCACTTCCGGAATTCACTAAGACTTTAAACATGGTAAATAAAGCCTGCCATAAAAAAAAGTAAATGTTGCTAGCTAAAACCCTGTTTACCTTTACCAATAATAATCCAAAGAAAAAAAATAGTAGAAATTTCAAAAAAATGGGATTGGAGTTGGACTTCCGCACTACCAATAATTACGCTAAAATATTTTACACTGGTAGAACCAGGATGTGCGATAACAAAAAAACCATTTTAGGTGTTAAAAAACTAATAAGAATAAATTTATTGCTTAATTTCTTGCAAACGTGTTTAAATTGTGTGGAAGGAAAAGAGTGTATGGAACTGACAAAGATCTTTAGCACTAAAACTATAACTCTAATCTTCTACCAGCGAACTTCGTACTAAATAAATCTAAAAGGCAACTAAAAATTTGAAACTGAAAATATCACAAGAAATTATGGCGCTTATAACAGTGCAGTATATGACAGAAAAACAGTAAACAGTCACTTATAAAAGTGAACTATTCTGAAAATTGCAATACACACTATAAATGCATACCTAAAACATTTTAAAACTACAGGAAGAGAGAAAATAAAAAACAAAAAGCTTTCTCGCAGAAAAAAAAAAAACAATATTTTCTAGGTTGATAAGTTATCAGTGGAAAAACAAGCTAGAAAGAGGTGATCAGATGAATTAACATCTGGAAAGAAACTTTCTTCACGACTGAAGCAATCCGCTAAACAAAAAAAAAAATGATGTTATTAGTAGAAATTTAGGTTGTTCCATAAGTTTTGCAAGTGCTTACACATTTCTTCAAGAACTAGGAAACTAAGAACTTCTAACCATTAGACGATCGCAAATCCAGCTTACCCTCCAGAAAAATTCTATAACATTTAAGTAACACCAAACAACTGACCTTTGTGAAAAATAACAGACCAACCTAAAGCACTTTCAGGAATAACCTTGTTTCTTGAAAGTTTAGCACAGATTTCCTTGTTGAATGAAAGTAACATCAGCAGAGGCAAAAAGGTGAAGTTTGATGAGACTAACAGACAAATTTTTACTTCATAATTAATTTGATTAGGAGTTATCAAAATCCCACTAGCCGCTGTTATGCTCTAAGAATATTTGATGACTTACGTTAGTGTTTTGTGCAGAGTCGTCTTCTCAACCGCTTCTTAAGCATTTGGTTCCTGGCACTCATAGCTTCTTTACTGCATACTAAAAAGACCCGAAAAATTGAATTAAAAAGAAAAAGTACAGAGTAGAAAAATTGTACGCTCGAGTAAAGCTTCACCGATTTTCTTCCCACTGTGTATACACAGGCGGATTTCTAATTTGGCGTAAAAATTTTTGTGAACGGAAAATCCTTCTCCTGGAGAAACTCCAGTTGTTTTGGCTTGATGCCAATGTGTTATATGAAGGCAGTCAGAGGTTATCCAACTTACCTTCGTAAAGGTGTGCTAAACTTTTATTTTAATTGCGTTCATAATGTGTTATTGATGTCTGTTATCTACAGATGTTTAATCTCTTTGTGCTCCGAAATATTCGCTCTTCCGTCCATTTTCTGTCAAGGTATTAGCAGAAATGTGATAGGGTTTTTATTTTTAACAGATACATTTTAACTTACTGTTATAATTTTTTTTATATCCAGTAAAATCTTTTTTTTTTTTT